GTTCCCTAATACTAACCCTAACCTTAACCGTAACCGTAACCCTTACCCGAAGCCTTACCCTAACCCGTACATTGATCCTAACCTGTACACTAACACTAACCCATCACCTCACACATATGCTAACCCTAGAGTGTTGTCATACCCTAACCTATACCCGAAACCGTACAGGTTCCCTAAACCTAACCCTAACCCTAATCTTAATCGTAACCATATCCCTTACCCGAAGCCTTATCCTAACCCGTACCTTAATCCTAACCCGTACAATAACACTAACCCATACCCTAACACGTACGGTAATGCTACAGTGTTGTCATACACTAACTTGTACCCTAAACCGTACTCATTCCCTAACTCTAACCCTAACACAAATTGTAACCGTAAACCTTACCCAAAGCCTTACCTTAACCCGTACCTTAATCCTAAACCATACACTACCACTAACCCATACCCTAATACGTACACTAACCCTAGAGTGTTGAAGTACCCTAACCTGTACCCTAAACCGTACCCATTCCCTAACCCTAACCCTTACCATACACCTTACTCTAACCCGTACCCTAATCCTAACCCGTACATTAACACTTACACTTACCCTAACACATACCCTAGCCCTAACCCGTTGTCATACCCTAACCTGTACCCTAAGCTTTACCCGTTCACTAACCGTAACCCTAACCCTAATCGTAACCCTTACCCGAAGCCTTGCCCCAACCCGTACCCTAATCCTAACCTGTACACTAACACTAACCCGTACCCTAACACGTACCCTAAGCCTAACCCATTGTTGTACCCTTACCAGTACCCTAAACCGTACCCGTTCCCTAACCCTAACCCTAACCCTAACACTTACCCTAGGCCTTACCCTAACCCATACCGTAATCGTAACCTGTACACTAACACTAACCCATACCTTAACACGTACCCTAACACTAAACCTTTGTCGAACCCTAAGCTGTACCCTAAACCATACCCGTTCCGTAACCCTAACCATAACCCTAAACCTAACCCTAACCCTTACTCTAAGCCTTACACTAACCCGTACCCTAATCCTAACCTGTTGTCGTACCCTAAACTGTACCCTAATCCATAGCCATTCCGTAACCCTAACCCTAACCACAACCATAACCATAAGCCTTACACTAAGCCTTATCCTAACCCGTACCCTAATCCTAAACCATACACTAACACTAACCCGTACCCTAACACGTATC